TATTATGCTCACCAAGGCTGAATTTATTTGATAAAAACTACAGTGAAAACAGTAATATGGTGAAATATTTTTACAAAATTGTATTAAAATTAACTAAAACGAATAACTGTATTCTATGTGAATCTCTGTTCAAATGGAATTTATTGCTGTGAGCAAAGCTGGATTTTCAGCATCATTATTCCACAGTGTCACATGATCCTTCAGAAATCATTCTAATATGCTGCTCAAGAAACATCATTATTATATTATTATTATCAAACTTGCTATGTTGTGCTGCTTCATTTTTTTTCTTCAGGATTTTTTATTGAAAAAAAAAATTCAAAAGAACAGCATTTATTTGAAACAGACTTTTGTTTAGCATTATAATAGTCTTTTGATCAATTTGCATCCTTTCTGAAATATCTATAAATAAATAAATAAGGACCCAAATTTTTAAACGGTAGTATAGATGAAAGAATACATTGGTGTCCAAACTTTTCATTGTTTCTGTATATGCCTTCATAATTAAAATAGTTCAAGAGTGCATACACAAGTTTTGTTTTATTTTTAAATTCAATGTTGTTCGAATTTTAATTTATAATGGTTTTCCATGATGTTTCTTGATGTATTTATTTGTGTGCTGTTATTCTTCAGTTTCCCCTATGCACTTTTATAAAATATGCAGTTTTCAGAAAACTAGTTATCATCAATCTTGACAAAAATTTGAAGCCTTAGATTTTTAGTCTATGCAAGTTTTTGGACACTATTTCTTCCTGCTTATTTATCATCTTTTGACATGATAAAAATAAATTGTATTGCATTTAAAAATAGATCTACTTTTTTTTTTTAAAAAGCGGTGCTTTCCCATGCTTGCATGTTTGGCAATCAGCTGACAGGATTTTACAGTTCGTTGCCTTGACTTGCCACTTGCTGGTGACTAGGGATGCACCGATACCGATACTGGTATCGGTATCGGGCCCGATACTGGTCTCCTGTACTCGTACTCGTTAAAATGCCCCGATACCAAACACCGATACCACACAGCATGTGATAAGCGCCATATTCAAACAAAGAAACACCGACAACAGAACAACAGACAGCAGAAAGGAGTTAAGGATGTCTACTACGAAGTATATGTATCCAATTAATATAATGTTAAACATTCAGTATTAATGCTTGTATATCTGATGTGCGCGAGCTGATAAACAAAGCACACTGAGTGGATTGAGCGCGCGGCGGCGCAGATGCGTGAGCTTGTCGAGTGAATATATCTTTCTCACAGACATCACTGGAAAGTTTGTAGTTCGGTCGGATACGTCAAAAACAAGTAAGTAAAACAATGCACAAGTTACTTAACGGTAG